GAGAAGTCAATAAAAAAATAGTGCGGAGATGCTTTCTCAAAACAAACAACAACAAAAAATCCTTTCCTTGAAGTCAGTTACTGACGAGGAAGAAGGCCTCACCCCACAGGTATGAAGGCGTGGGTGCGAAGTGAGTGTAAATAACAGGCCTGTTTGGCAAAGACGACAATCTTCAATTAGCCCTTCCACTTAAAGAGGTGGTGCCTTTTTATGAGAACTTTTGCGATGTGTCAGAGAACATTACAGTTAAGAGTCTATTATTTAGGTTTTTCTGAGTGTGCAAATATGATGTAAATTTGAACCAACAGGGATGAGGAATAAAATCCCCCAGTGACACCGAGCAGACAGTCAGCCTTTGTTTCCATAACTGGTTTCAGTTTCGCATTAATGTTGGTGAGTAAAAACAAATCAGGTCTCATTTAAGCTGATTTGACAGCCTTTTTTTGGTTTATTGTAGTTGTAAAAAACACATGAAACACAAAGAAAATATTATGGTGTACTGTAGTTTACCTGAGAAAGAAGGAGGATACAAATCCGGCGTGTCAAGATGGATCACAGACAACTTGAACATGACCACATGGCCTTTAAAGATCAGAAGTAATCTGTGGATCTTCATGGATATTAAGTGTTTGGATTATATCTGTTGCTGGGCTTGTGTCTTAGGGACGCTCCCGACTTAACCTTTCTCCTGTGTTAGCTTTCACTGCACACCCACCATGTTAAGGGTCGGTTTCGGCCCATGTCTTAAATCAGCTGTAAATTACACTAAAAACAACTCTCCATCATCCAATTTGGTTCTCATCTCTAGGTTACCTTGTTAGGCTTCATTATCCATGAAAATATTGCCTATAATAGTTTTTGTAGTGAGCCTCTGGGCCTTTCTTTGTCAGTATACCCCTCATACAGAAATCTATACTGAATTGATCTCACATGTCTGGACATGCCCGACGTTGTTTTTTGTGCAGGAAAAAACATGGAAAAATAAGAATTTCTTAAATCTTACATGATTGGAAGAGGATCTAACTGTCAGTGTGGTGCCTGGAAGTGCACTTATGATTTCAGTTTTTGCTTAAATTATTAGATATTGATCTAATCGGGTCAACAGCAACCCTAAAATGACAAGTGCCACAATTTTAATAAGAGCATTTTATAATTAAGTCAGTTAATTTTTTTATTTCTATTTGTTGAAACAGAGGTTCCTGACAAAGTCAAAAAAGCGAATTTAAGTGGTTCTTTTAAGCATTTAAAATCAAAAACAGGTCAGTGCAGACCCTAACACAGGAGGAGGGTTAAGCAGGAGGGTAGGTGCACCATCAGATTTTCAGAAACACTGGAAAACAATGATAACAGCAACATGACACTTACAGTACTTTGGAAGAAGTTTTCCCAATAGACCATATGCATCTGTTTATAAGACCAGGACCCCCCCTCAGCTGACTACTCTTCATATAAAAAGCCCCGTTGCAGTGCTCAGGAATCTGATTTTCATTCTTAAAAGAATACACTAATTTAAAAACTCATAATAGAAGTGGAATCTATACTTTGTATCTATCTAGTGTATGTTTGTTCTGACTAGTTAACCCAACAAGTAAACAGGAATCAGTTATTAAATTTTCCAAACTCATTTAAAAAAAAGGTAAATAAGTTTAATCCAGCTGTCTGTATTTTCGGGGCACTTAAACAGTCCGATTGCTGAAGGAGGAAAAGCTGTTAGTGAATTTTGTGTCTACAGCCTGCATTTCATAATCATGCACTTTTATAGTAATCTTATGGAAATTCATTGTGCATTAAGACACAAAATCCTGCCAGTAGAAAACAAGGAGTATGTACCATTTTATCCCTGTTTCAGTGGGAACATGCTGCCCACACAGCTGCCTGCATGTTTCGCTGTCTTTGTTGCCTGGCTCAGCGGTGGGTTTGGAGATGATGCTGTGTTCTCTGGTTCATCCTCCACAGGGAACAACAGAAAATCAGCCAACGTGTCCTGCAGAGCTGGAGATGGAGGGCACTGTCTGCTTGAAGAAAAGAAAAACCCGTACAAAGGTTCAAAAAGTTCAAATGTACTCTACAGGAGGAGCTGCTTCTTTAAAAAAATACTACTTTAAAATTCCAGCGGATGTGCACCTTGTGGCCTTTGGGTGGATAAAATTCAAATCAAAAAACTCTCCTAAATAGAAACGCATATCTAAACTATGGTGAAAGATTATCTGGCCCTGTCATTGTGGGCTCCCCCTCTCTGATGAGAGAGATGAGAGTGATTCAGGCATTCATGAACAGCCCACCATTGCAAAGTTCAGTAAATTCCAACGCCAACATTCACAGAAATCTCTCATTGAGCTTATCAAAGGCATATGAAAGGTGGCTAACTATTTTCACATTATCTCATCGTATTTTACCCTTTTAAGGATTGATGCCCAAGGTTGCTAAACTAGTTTGCATCCCTGCGTAGATGATCACAAAGAGAGAAATGTTCACTGTTCTGCTTCTGGAAAAATTCAACTTTAACACAGTCTCATTTGAAGGCACCGCAGCTCCAGGTCTTGTACCGTTCATTGCTAAATTTTAGATTGAAAAATGTCATCTGAATCCTGCAGAAAATTGTTTGAGTTGCATGCCATAACCAGTGATGAGAAAAGTCGTATGATCAAAAATTGATGCTCTTGCCGCCCCTGCTGTATTGCATTAACATTTCTGCAGGATCTCTCTGCTGCAGGAAAATTCTGCTGACACACAGGAGTCAGTCAAACCGTGGTCAGTTCAGCTGAATCTACATCTGCCATCTGCTGTGTCCCAGAGCGCTACTCTGACCTCCACCCTTCAAGCTGCACAAACGATGAACGTCTCACCTCAAACAACCCGACTTCTGCTTTTATGCATGCTGGCATGCTCGCTAACCCTGCTCCTGCCTCGGGAGTCAGAGGGATAAACAAGATGAGATCAGATTGTCCTCACTGCACCACATCATTGCAAAGTCACAGAATTACATCACAATGCCAGTCCTTTATTTCAGTCCGAGTGGCACATAGATGGTGTCTCCCCAGACTAATCTTATGTAGTTCAAATGAAGTGCAGTCACTAATCTACAAAGACTACGCACTCAGAACATTTGCACCAGGACAACTGCAAGATCGTCTCAAGTTGCTGCAAGAAAATTCTAACTTTGGCCTTTTAAAGCAAAATACATTAAGTATTAAAAATGTAATAATTTTAAAATTGTAATTTACTGATGCATTAATGCATTTCCCAAGCTACATGATCTAATTACAAATAATGAACTGGTTAATTTGATTTAAATCATTCAGTTCTCAAATGTTTCAGAGGCGAAACACTGCATCTTCTTTGACATTTATTGATCTGGTTGATCAATAAATTAATAAACAAATATATAAATATTCTCTTTTGCTTTAAATGCATTTTTTAAGAACTCATATAAGCATGTCATGGACCTGACTTTTTTGTTGTTTTTGTTTTTATTGGCACAACATTGTTTTCTTAACCTGAGATTTAAATTTTATTTTTTATGTATTTATTTACTTATTTGTTTATTTATGATGCAACTGATGTAAGGGGGGTGAGTTCATTTGTGTGCTCACGGTCCAGATATATGATTTCAAGAAAAAAGTTTTACCCCCATATTGGGTTTATAAAATTCATTAGACTCTAAAGAAGCAACTGCAACTATCTATAGTTGGTTTAAAATGTGAGATAAACAAAAAAAGGAACTGCGACTGCAATTGACGTAAATGTGGTCAATGTGGTCGAGGGTTAACAGCTCCAAATTTGCTCTGCAGCTCATGGCGGTTTTTATTGTGAAACCAGTTCTTAATATAAAAGAGAGCTTAATGAGGATGTTTTCTTTTTAATACATAAATGTGTAAAAACAAGTAATTTTTAGAGCTCAATGATATGTTTCATGTGTCCAGGTATAGTTTACGATCTCACTAATATAGCTTTGCGATTTTATTTAAAAAAAAAAACATCTTTCCCTCTTAATTATTGTTTTTCAGATCTAGTATGATCAAACTAAATTCTAACTGCATGATATCCTGATCATCTTTTACATTTTGCAGTTCATCCGTGCAGAAAAACAAGCGTCTTGTCGTGTCTCTTGAATGTTTTTAGAGCATTGTGGGAAGCAAAAAGCACAGTTGAAACAAAAATTACGTAAGAAAATATCAAACATGCAGTGAGGCATGTTTTATTCCAGACTGATCCTCCTCCAGCCAGGAGCTGTTGAGGAACATCCACCCACACTGTTCTGTGATTATTGTGTTGGTCAGGCTGACAGAAATAGCATTGTTATTGAAGCAGAGGGTTAAAAATGACTGCTTCGAGCTGCAGGTTAAACTTGTGTTGCTGCTGCTAATTTCTGCAGCGACAGAAATGGTCAGAGAGAGTTAAAGTAAGCACGTAAATAAGCCATCGAGCGAGGAGGTGATTGGATCTGAGACGGCCAGTGTACGAGAGCATGCATGTGAAACTAGGTCGTGTAAACCAATATATGTAAGAGTGACAGCATGAACTCTCATCTCGTGTCTTGAACTCACTAAAACAACAAGGACGATGTTGCCTGGTAACAGAGAAACTGCATATTACTCATTTCTCTAAGGTTTCACACTGCTATTGTGAGGACAATAATCATAACTGTTGAGTTTCTTTTAACCCACACGATGAAGGCCAGTTCCTCTTAAGATGAGTTAAAAATGGACTATCCATCACATTATATATTTTTATAGGAGAACCACAGCATACCTCCCAGTCGACTACCCTGGTGTCAGTCACATGTTCCTACCATGGTTTTCTTCTGAATGAGGTGACATAAGTGTGGGTTACGAGAACAAGCCCTAATCCCTTATTCTGGGTGCAATTCACTCCAGTCAAGTAGAAGCTGCAGACGTGTGTGTGTGGCACGTGAAAGCCAAGCATTCGGCTCAAACACCAATCACAAAGCTGTAGTAACCTCCAATCTGCTTCTTTTTCCTTTATAGATGCTGCTCCTGTGTAACTGTGATCTAAAGTGGCCTTCGACACATGTAGGTGGCTTGTTAAGATTTCCAGGACACTGGCGGATTTACCCAGTAATCCTCCCATCAGCTGGTCAAAGCAAGTGGTCGACTATTTTTGCTCTAATGATTCTTCATGGTACTATTTCTGTGGTGGTTTTTATTTTTGTTTTGGTGGATCGTTCCCGCAGGAACACAGGTTTTACTTAAGCCAGAAGTCCTCTTGAAGACACCAGTGAGACTGACCAGATAGAAATGACCAACACTCTGAACACTTGAACTCGTGTTATATCAGTTTGATGATTTAGTTTACATTCTCCCATGATTCAATGCTGCTTTTCCATCCCTGCTGATTTACAAAGATGATATGAAGGACCGATTCCGACTACACGACCAGTGAATAAAATGTAACCCTGGTTTTCACTGGTTACTTATATTTTTATCATTCATTGATTTATTTTACAAAGTGCCTTCCGGTTGCTCTTTTTAGTTGATAGATCTAAACAAAGCGCCATCTTGTTGCCTATTTAGTGTAATATATAGACAAACGGCCTTCTGACTGCAAGTTTAGTGGAAAAATGTAAACCAAGTTCCTGTCCTCTAGTTAACAAATGCAAACTAAGTGCCCTTTGGATGCAAATTTAGTAATTAGAATGTACATGAAGAACCCTCTGGGTCCCTTCCAGTTTATAAAATGTAAACAAAGTGCCTATGTGTGCTTATTTATTGAATATAACATAATTAAGTGCCCTTTACTTGCTTTTAATAAGTTACTAAAATGTAAACGAGTGTCCTCTGGTTGCTCCTTCTGTACGTAAAATGTTAAAAACCTTATGGGTGACTTATCAGTCTGTAAACAGAGTGCCCTTTATTTTTTCATCAAGTAATTGTAATGTAAACAAAGCACCCTTAGGGAGCTTATTTCATTAATAAACAAAATGTAAAGACAGTTAATTCCCTTTGCTAATCAAGTGACTTAAATTTAGACCAAGTTCCCCTTTAGTGGTCCTATTGTGAACAAAGTGCCATTTAAGGGGTTCATAGAGGGTACAAAATGTAAACAAAGTACCCCTTTGGCAACCTTAGAGTGTATTAAAAGTAACCCAATTGCCACTCACACTGAGAGGACTCTTATTCAGATTTTCCAGCAAAACGGTTGTAAATGCTCACTGTGTTTGAATGCATGTTTTATTTTGTTTGTAACCCATCTACTTTCTGAGTCTCAGTTAGTCCTTCCTGAGCTGGACCAAAGGTGAGATAAGCTCCATGCCAAAGGGACCAGTTCAATATGGGAGCCAGGCAGTTTGATTTTAAGCGGGCCACTCATTAACAGATGATGTTTTATGCTCTCCTGCAAAGAGCCAGACTCCTTTGATTAAACGGGTTAAGAGCTGAATTTTGGTGGGCATATGGTGAATCATGCACTGAATGGACAGGGCACACAGCGTCCTCCAGGCCTGACTGTTATTTCCGGTGCACCAGTGCTCGTACAGCAACAGCTGCTGCTCTCCTGGCCAGCATCTAGAGTCATCCAGGGTTTAGGAAGGGAGGACGGAAGGAGGGAGGAGCAGGAGGATGTGTTCAGTCTCTTATTGTATGTCTAGGTTGAGGTGGGGGTGGGAGGTCCTTCAGCCTTTGTCACGAAAGCCTCTTGGATGCTCTCCATCCACCCCTCAGGCCCAGTGATTCACACAGGTGCTAATTTGGGAGAGCTAACACATACTGTGTTTTATTTTTCATGACACTGGATCCTCAATGAGTGACTAAGTCCATGCAGGAATCAGCTTAGGTTTATGAACAAGTCCTCAACAGCTCTGGGTTGAGATTATTGCAGACAGGATGTACCAAGGACGTTTCAGGGGTGGGGCAACAAAAGAGGGCACTAAGAGTGGCAACGAGAGGGCACTTTGTTTACATCTATCAACTAAAAAGATTTTGAAAAAAAAATCCTGATTTAAAAAAGTAAAAGAGGCTGCGTGTACTAGAGAAGCAATGAAATTTAGATAGTATATTCACCGTTTCATGATACTTAAGCACTCAGTACTTAGACAACAATACTCATTTATAAATTCACTTGAACAGCGTTCAATTAAATCTATAGCACAGATCTGAAGTGTAGAAATCAAAGTTTTTGTGTATTTTTTTGTGTCGTTCACATCCGGTCCACTTTCAATTTGTGACTTAAAGTGAGAAAAAATCTCTTCCTGTCTCTAAAGTCTGTTTTTTTTTCATTCATTGTAAAATCAAACTCTTGTTATGCAGCTTCACAGTAGAAAGCCTCCATTACCATACAGTGCAGAACAGTGATTTCACATTGATCCCCCGGTGATGGTGTTTTTTTCAATTCACCTGCAGCTCTGGAGAATCCACTCAAAGTGATTTGAAGTTTATTTTGGAGGACAATCACTCATTGTCTTTATTTTTCAGCAGTTACCCCCCTCACTGAGCGAAGCTTCGGCTCCACACAGATAACTTCAATCAGCCAAATGTTGGACCGGGAGCAGACAGCAGCCGTCTAATGAGAAGCTCTGCTGGGTCCAGATTGCTTACGCTCTGTGTCATGGAAAAAGTAGAGAGCAGAATTAAAACGCTCTGCTGTGCCATGTGGACGTATAATATCTGTTTCCTGTGCCTGATTCACACTGCTCTGCTACAGGCGGCGGGAATATGGAAATATGTTGTCACACAGATCAGTAACATCGACGTCACAGCAGGGCTTCTCTTTGTTGATGAGACAGGAAGAGAGGGCGAAGAAGAGAGGAGGCAGGGCAGAGTGAGAGACGGAGACAGAGGGCATGTGATGGGAAACGTGTTTGTCCATGCTGACAGCATGTGACTCCGTACAAATCTGAGAGCAGAGCACAGCAGGGGAGTGTGTGTGGTCTCTTTTTTTCAGATGTGTGTGTGTGTGTGTGTTTTAGGCCTTCTTTCTGCATGCATGAGCCGGCCTGGGTACTACACTGTTTTTGCACTGTGCACATCCAACTCACTGCGATATGAAAAGAGAGCCATGGCCTGATTTGCATCATATCGAGGAGAGGATCAGCCCGGCTCTTCTGTTTCATCCTCACAGGATCCTCTTGTTTTGGCAGGCTGCTTCTTCCAGGCTTCCCCGTGTGATGCCTCTTCCAAGAAACACCCCCCACTCACCATCGCCACATACGGATGGATATATTGAGTGCCACGTGAAGGATGGCGAGGTGGCGGAGACAGGATGCATCAACAAAAGGGGGATGATGCACAACAAATAAGTACACAGTGTGAAAAAGGGGGGAATGGGACTCAATGTGCACATACATTCTGATTTACATACATTCTGAACTTGTTTACTTCATTTCGAACAACATATTGTTTCTTCGTCAAAAACGTCGCTGCCATTTAAAGACAAAGCTCATGAACTCAAGCCAAACCCATCAGTTGAGACGAGACTTCCTGAAGAAGCAGTCACCTTAAATCATCATACCATTACAGCACCGATAAAGCACTCTTTGGATCCGATTAGTGCAAATAAAACTAGTTATTAACCTGTTCTGCAGGTAAGCTGACCTAAAAAAGGTCCTGAATGGCTGGTTTATCAACGGTTCTAAACAATGACTGCTTTGTTTTCAATGTGGCAGAGCAGAGTCATAAAAGTTCTTCCTTGAATGTGAATGCTTGAATTTCCAACCTACATTTTTGGTTGAACATGGTGTAACGCTCCTGGCATGGCTGTTGACTTTTCAGGTCGCCTTTTGGTGTGTTTGTTGCAGGTAAATAAATATTAGGGGATACATCCTCTATTGACCTCAAATATTTGCACCATGTTATGTGGTGATCCATGCAGTAGTTGATATTTCAGTGTTTGGGTACTCTTCTATGGAGAGATAGACACTCGTCTTTTAGAGCTCTTTCCCTCATTAGCTGTTTCAATGATGATAGTTAACCAAAATCTGCCATTGGTATTCAGCTGGGCTAATATCCAGTGACGGCGTTAACATGTTTCTTATTATTTCATCAAACCAGTTGATGAGCACTCATAACCTTAATGGATGCATTAAAATTCGTCATGTCTCCCTACTTATTGAGCGTTTTTTTCTTAATTTTTCACCTTCCCGTTAAAATACATCAGTTTAATCTGGAATATCCCTAGTGTTTGAATATTCTCTCATACCATCAACATAAAGATGCATGTAGAGTATGTATGTATAAAAAAGTCAAATTTGAAGCAACTGTCAATTGATACTTCAGTAAAGGTAGATCTGAATATTTTACACAGGCCAGATCAGTCTGATTCATTGCATGGATCAAAAATGGACCCGGATAAGCTCCCAGCAACAAAATTTGACAACCCACAAAGACATAGATTTAGAGGAAAAACTTGGGAATTTAATGACTCAGTGTTACATCACCAATGCCCAAACCAAAACTCAGCATCAGGCCAAAGTTGAGATCTGCATGTCCAACATTCAACTCCAAAAATGACATTATGAACATGAATGCCAAACTTATTTGCAGCTTATATATGACAAAGGAAACTTATTCCTCCATCCTGTTAGGGTCAGGGTCAGGGTTAGGTTGCAGTGTCTTGGTGCCATTTTATTTATTTATTTATTTTTATAAACAGCATGGGGGAACTCACACCCATATTGGTGCCTGAGGGTATACTGGTGTTAAAATAAGGTGTGGTCAGATGCAAAAAGGGGTGTTGCAATAATAAGACAGCAGAAAGCATGTAGATCAACTAAAACCTGGTCTTAAATGTGTTAAAAAGGCTGAAATGTGCTGTAAGAAAAGAAACAGACTCGTCTTTAAGATGCATCAGAATGTACAAGTTACTGAGAGCAGAAATATCGAATTTATATTGGACCCCAAACACACCAGAATAATCAACAAAGGTTGCACTCTTAACTGTGATGAAAAACTGCTGTTGTGATTCGGTCCTACATTTTTTAAATTAAAATGATAAGCTTATTGGAATAATGCATGCTTTAATCAATTTATTTTTCTATCACAGGCTTCTCATTTTTAAGTCAGAGTTATTAAACCCAGCTTTTCACCAGGTCTTTACTGTGAACAAAGCACCGCCTCAGCTCTGTTTTTAAGTAGTTTTCTTCTCCCTCTTAGCGTTGATGACCAAAAAGGCACATTAGCCCAGGTCCCATTTCTACAGTTCTCTCTGAAACTGGATTTCAAAAACACTGTGAGTGACGAGCTCCCACCACAGCTGCCAAATTGCTTATTCAAGTGTCACTCCTCTTGAACAAAAATTACAGCATCTCCCAGAGAGAATAATCACTTTAATGGATGAAAATTCAGCTCACATCATTTTGCACACTGCAGTATTTTGTTCCAGACAGCCTGAGCTGAGTTCTCTATGCATTTCTCCCCGAATATCTGATTTTACAAGTACACTGTTGCAGAAAACAAGACCTTCTTAATCATGCTCTACAGTCAGTGTTTTGGTCTACTCTACCTTTTGACTTTTCATCTTTCAGAGACGAGTATCAACAAACAGAAACGCAGCTGGGTATCTATGCATGCATCGCTTTCCCCTCCCTTCCCTTTGAAATGAAACTCCAGAAATATACAGAATCTGTCAGCCACTTCTTTCACCTGCAGCCCTCTGGAAGTGTGTGGGCATCTGAGTGTATGCCTGCAAACGGAGGGCTGTGAGTGTTTAATGCTGTGTGTGGGATGTAGAGATGATGAACAACCCCACACCTCAACATCTCTCACCTGCTGCTGAGGGGGGGATGATAAGCAGGTAGGTGGAGAGTCGGATCTGGAACTGCTGATTTTCTGTTTCTGCAGATAGGAGAAAGCAGAGCTGCAAACACGCTGCTGTTTGCATTGAAAGAGAAAGAGGAATAATCCTGGCTGCTCTCGTTTCCTTTCAACATAGTGACCAATTTACAATTTGTATTCAGCCCATGTAATCATAGACACATTTTTTAGTCTGAAGGGTGGAGCTCATTTCGTAGAAACACATCCAAAAGACTAATTTTTGCCTACATGATAGGCTGCTATGACACAATACAGCATGATGAGATACATTTCAATTCAAGAAGTCATAAAGATAATAAACATTGTAAAAAGTGATCTCTGGATGCCCTTTCAATATATCAAACACGGTAATGTACCCTCCAGATGTCCTTACATAAAGAAAATAAGGCCCTTTAGATGCTCTAGATTGTGAAAACTAAGAACAATGCCTTAGAACATATGAAACGTGTGACCCCTGGATGCCCCTCCAGTATAGAGATCTCTACCCTGAAAACATAATAATAATGTCTTCGGGGTAAAGAATATTAAAAAATGACTCTTGGATATTTTCTATCCAGGGGCTGGATATAAGATGTAATAAAACACCCTCTGGTTGCCTCTTTGTTATATAATGTGTGCAAAAATGCTCCCTAGATGCCCTACCAGTGTAACCAGTTTGTAGAAAGAAAATAGTTTCCCCTTAGATGCCTTTTCAGAGGGAATCACATTTAAACAGATGCCAATAGCTTTAAGGGAATAACAAGGTCAAAAGGGGCTTTATGAATTCTCTATTAGTTAAAAAAAAGCCATTTGGATGAACTTCCGGCACTTAAAACATAGAAAAAAATGCCTCCTGGATGCCCTTCAAGTACACAGAACATTAAAAAAATGCCATCTGAATGCCCTCTAGTATATAAATATATACCATTTCAGTACATGTATACCCATTCCAGCAGATAAAATGTGGGAAACTGCTCTCTGGATGCACTTCAAGGATTTTTTTTTAATGTCACATGGATGCCCTTCCTGTATACAATATGTAAAAAGGTCTTGTAGATACCCTTCTCGGAGAAATCACATAAATACACATCTTTCTTGATGTCCTTACAGTGGATAAAAGTGCTTTGGAGATCCACTCCCAGTTAATAAGACATTGAAAAAGTGCCCTCCGGATGCCCTTTCATTTGAAAAGTTGCTTGTAAACAGCCTGTTAAATCATGATATCAGGACTACTTTTCATATTTTTTCTATTTCAATTTGCCAGCTAAGACTTTAGAATGAAAATATGATATACCAACTGTGATTAATTGATGGTACAGTGAATATTTTTAACCAACTGCACACACAAAGGCTTGACTTCAGTCATATCACAGAAGTGGAAATTCCCTCAAAGGCTCAGAGTTCAGGAGTTTTGCAGAGTTTCTATGTTGATGTTTCCTTGCACAGGCGTTTTCACAACTCAAAAGTCCAATCAAATTGCCTGCAGTGCTCTTTTTCATTTGCACTTTTACAGTTTTCCACGACAGAAAGAACAGTAAAGAGGCCTTGCTGTGGATTTTCGTGCCGCTTACAGTAGCACATAATACTGAAGTGTGTTCAGCAGCCTTGGCCTCTGTTGTTTAAGGTTTTCAGGTGATTCTGGGACCTGTCTGCGAGGGATTTATTCTCATTCAGTCCAAAAGAGTATTAGTGAGAACAGCCGCTGATGTTGGCAAGTAAGGCCTGGCTTTCAGTTTGCGTCCCGAGTTATCCCAAAGGTTGTGAGAGGAAGTGATGCAGGGAGACATAGGAAAATAATCCGGTCATCCTTAACCACATTAAAACACCCCTGGTGGTGTAAACACTTATTAAAATGATAAAATATATAGCTTTAATGTGGATTCAAAGGT